GACGACGACGATCTCCATTGAATAAAAGGAAACAAACTGACAAATAATTGCGCTGCCTTGGAATGCGTTTTCCTAATTGAGTTTGTGGCAGAAGCGATATCGCTGCGTGGTGTAAATGAGCATGGGATGCGCGCGCACACACACACATAAAACAAGTCAAAGATCACCCGTATAGCCCACATAGGTTGTAAAGGCAAGTGGCTGTTCGCGAGCACCGGTGAAGGTGGGTACGATGCACAAGGGGGTGGGGGGTGTGGCACCCGCACCACGCCCGCTCGCCTTTGGCTCCCCGAGAGTTTGGATGTTTCCACACCGGCGTAACGTGAACCCATGTATGGTCGAGTCGACCTCGAGGAGGCCCAGGACCGGTTCAGATGACACTGATGTATGCTAGCCGTGGCCGGGAATCAAATTCTTAAGACACACACGCGCACGTAGCATACACTCACACGTGCTCTCGCGCGCACACACACGCACGAGCAGGATAAATTGGATTTTCTCTGCACGTGGTCATCAGCTTTGGAATTCCCTTTTGGCCTCGCCGCAAATATTGCTTGGACCTCAGTGAAGGCTCACGACCGGTGCGTGTCCTTGAATGAGTCACCTGACAGAAGCTGGTCATGGTGTGAGTCACTCACCATCTTGGGGTCATGAATTTACGCGAGACCACGCTATATTACACTTTGTAAATGGTAATTATCAACCAGTGTAATCCACTGCTGTGTCATTGGTTTATTTGGGAAACGGGAGAGAGACCGGCTTCACTGATATATTTGCTGCAAACTCCGATTGCCGGGTTCATAGCACAGTGCGCTAACCACTGTGCCACCACTCCCCCCTTCTTTACACACATCCCAGATAATACCAAAACTTTAGATTTTCTTTCATAGAAAATATCTCTAACAAATGCCCAAGAAAAAAATATAATGTCCCAATGTCTGGAAATGTTTTTTTTTAGAATAGAGTAAACATATCGGCCGTCAAGTCTTCTTGTCGAGTTGCGGTGTAGTGCATTCCATGAATACTGAATACGCCTCACAAAAACTCGCTGATTTGCAACGCTTTTGAGAAGACAAAAAAAAACCTTGGCAGAGTTTAAGGTCGGTAAAAAGAGTGCTTTTGGTTTGCCAACCAAAAGCAGTAATATACAGTAGTTTACCATTAATACATACCCAGCCCCTTCCCATACAGAGCGTAGACCCAGAACACGTTCATTAAAACATATTTCTTTTTCATTGCCATTAACCATTTGCATGTTTCCCGTAGGCTATTCAGAAATTGCGTGCAAGACCATTGCATGGTCTTTCACGCAAACTCAAAGTGGACGCCGAATTGAAAATGATCCAATTTACCACACTCGTGACTAATACGTGTTTACGTAAAGTGTGTACCACGGTAGGTTTTGTAGAAGGCACCCGCGTGTACGTGCGCGTGTGTGTGTGTGTCTGTGTGTGCGTGTGTGTGGGGAGCGGTGGTGTAGCGGTTAGCGCTATGCTGCGCTATGAACCTGGCGACCCGGGTTCGATTCCCGCTCACGGCCAACATCAGTGACGATTATCTGAACCGGACCTGGGCCTCCCCTAGGTCAACTCAGCCTCAAATGAGTACCTGGCGCAGTGTGTAAACATCGCCACTGGGGAGACAAAGGCGGCCGGGCGTGGTGTTGGCCACCCACCCCCTCGTGTGCCGTGCCGGCCTTCATAGGTGCTCGCTAACAGCACTTGCCCCGACAGTCTGTTACAGGCTATACGGGGGATATTTGTCTTTGTCTGTGTGTGCGCTCTGCATCGTGGAGCGGCGGTCTCGCGGTTTGCGCGCTGCGCTGCGAACCCGGCGAACCGAGTTCGACTCCCGCTCACGGCCAACACCAGCGACGATTATCTGAACCGTTCCTGGGATTCCTCCCCTAGGTCGTCTCAGCCTTAAACGAGGACTACACGGTACGGTGTGTAAACATCAAACAGTGGGGAGACAAAGGCGGCCGGGGCGCGGGGTTGGTCACTCACCCCCTCCGTGTGCCGTGCGTGGCTTAATAGGTGTTCGCTAACAGCACTTTCCCCAGCAGCCTGTTGAGGCTGTACGGGGGCGTCTTTGCTTTTGTGTGCGCGCGTGCTCCATGCCAATTACAGAGATCTCCCGGACTGAGCCCGCTCCCGTCAGGCAAAGCAGGTTTCTTCTTTTTCAGCCTGGTTAGTTGCAAGTGCACCTGGCAAGGCTTGCCAGGTGTGGTAGTTTAAGCATCACTCAGGGCCGAGTGATTGCTCCCCCGTCACGTGGTGGGATTTCTCCGCGTTTCCCAGGAGGGTTTTTTTTCCCTCTCCCCTTCTCTCTCTCTCCACGCGTGCAGAGGGCCACTCGTCGATGGGATTGTCGAAAGATCTCAATGTCTACGGGGACCCGCCGACATTTGCATAGACTCGCCCGATTACTTTTCGTGGTTCAATGGTTGGCACTCTCGAAACCCCCATCGACATCATTTTGACATCGCTCCAGTATTTTTGTCTAATTAAATGATTTCTTCTTTTTTGTAAATAAAACAAAGTATAAACTGCCATACCTTCTACGGTATGTAACCTACATGCACTGGTACAAGCGGGCCGCCATGCCAATGCATGCGGGATTATCGCAAGATTTAGAGCTGTAGATTTTAGTGTGCACACCAACGGGAAGACGAGACCGCATCTCATTTAACCTCCACGCAATGCGCGGTCAGTCCCCGGTTCCCATACGAGTTAGTAGGTAGCGGGTCCATTACGTGGGGGTTTGCTGTACAGGTATGTGGGAGTTTAGGTCGGTCATTGGGGGTTGATTCACCATACTTCACCGGGCTGCTGACTGCGTGGATGGGATCTATTTCGCATGCGGGTTATGGCGAAGGGGCTGGTAAGGATATGGTTATGCGAGTGTCTGTGTGGCTATGTGTGGGTATGTACACATTCTATGACGACAACAATTCCCACGATAGTCTTAACAGGCTGTAGGGGACACGTGCTGTTAGCGAGTAGCATCTATGAAGGCCGGCACGGCGCACGAGGGGGTGGGTAGCCAACACCACGCCCGGCCGCCTTTGTCTCCCCAAAGTGGCGATGTTTGCACACCGCACCAGTTACTCATTTGAGGCCGAGTCGACCTAGGGGAGGCCCAGTGCTTGGGTTCCCGGGTTCGTAGCGCAGCGCGCTAACCGCTACACTACCGCTCCCTACAACGACTCATAACAACAACCGCGCGGTCACCACGGCGCCTGGTGCCATGCTAGGTGCACTTTGAGGCCATACAGCCACACACACACGAGAGCACTGCACTATGAACCCGGCGAACCGAGTTCGACTCCCGACCACGGCTAAACGTCGTAGTCGAACGACATCCAAACCCTTTCCCGGGGCGAACCAGCGTGGTGAAGTATGGCCAATCAATCCGCACGACCGACGCGACGCTTTGGAAAGGCGTTCCCATCCAGCAGTAGATTCGCAAAAAGCTGTACACACTCGAATGTCACGGTGCTTGCAAATTACCCCCATCACGCACACAATCACTGCTGTTAGCGAGCGCCTATTAAAGGCAGCCACGAAGAGCGAGCTCCAAGTGTGTGAACAGCACTCGGCCATATCCCAACTCACGCACCTTCATGTTTACACACCGACTTGCATCAGGAACTCGTTTAAGGCCGAGCCTACCTAGGGGGACGATGGGTACAGGTTGGGATAGTAGCTTGTGGAATTGCTGGGTACGTGGTATGATTGTGCTAACTATATCAAGCCGTGCACAGACACACAATTAGACACAGACACATAATTAGACAGAGACAAACGGGTAGACATTCTACAAAGACAAAGATCCCCCGTACAGCCTTAACAGACTGTTGGGGCAAGGACACCAGAACGGCGCACGAGGGAGTGGAGTGGCCAGCACCACGCCCGGCCGCCTTTGTCTCCCCCTGCTGCTATGTTTTTACGCATCGTACCAGGTACTCATTTAAGGCTGAGTCAACCCAAGGGAGACCGAGGACCGGTTCAGATCATCGTCGCCGGTGTTAGCGATGAGCGGAAATCGAACTGTGGTGGCCGAGCACGAAGCGCAGCGCGCAGACAATTTCCACCACCGCTCCCCCAATACATTCCACAAAGACAAAGATTCCCCGTTGAGCCTCGACATAATGTCAGGGCAAGTGGTGTCGGCGAGTAGCGCCTACGAAGGCGGGCACGGCACGCAATAGAACATACACCTAGATGTGCACAGGTACACAGACACACACAGACACACACGCGTAGCGCCGCAGATACATGAAGACAAACCACGCGTCCACACGCCGATAGACTCACACAGACACAAGCGCACATGTACAAAGACAAAGATCACCCTATAACCTTTAACGGACTGTTGGGACAAGTGCTGTTCGCGAGCGCCTATGCAGACCGGCAAGGCGAACATTGCGCCCGGCCGCATTTTTCTCCCCAGCGCCAGATATTTACACAATTAAGGCTAAGTCGACCTAGGGGAACCCCAGAGCCGGTCATATATATTCGTCACGGATGCCGTAAGCGGGAATCGAATTCTGGTGGTCGCCCGGGTTAGTCGCGCAGCGCGCTAACCACTGCACGACCGCTCCGCATGTATACAAGACACACAAGGACACAGATACCCCGTGTAGCCTTAACAGACTGTTGGGGCAAGTGCTGTTAGCGAGTAGCACCTACAAAGGCCGGCACGGCACACGAGGGGGTGGGTGGCCAGCACAACACCCGGCCGCCTTCGTCTCCCCAGCGGTGATGTTTTACGCATCGCACAAGGTACTCATTTGAGGCCGAGTCGACCTAGGGAAGTCCCGTAACCGGTTCAGTTAACCGTCACTGTGTGTTGGCCGTGAACGCGATTCGAACTCGAGTGGCCGCCGGGTTCGTAGCGGCGCGCGCGAACCACGGCACCACCGCTCCGCACAAGACACGGACACATCGACACACACCGGCCCACGAGGAGGAGAAGACGCACAGACACACATTTACCGATGTGTATGATGGAGTCCCCGCGGCATCCCACCCACGCGCAGCCAAAGGCGAAGACGACTGCCAGAGTCCCCATCGCTCTGGCGAGACGCATGGCAACAGTGGCGTCTCCCGTCCTCCTCCAGTTACAGTTCCTCCTCCTCCTCCGTCTCCTCCTCGTCTCCGTCTCACTTTTTTGTTGCTTTCTTTTTCTTCTTCTTACGGAGACATCCGACTCTTCCTCGCCGGGTATAACCGAGAGCAGCAATAACCCATGGCTGTCCGCCCTCAACCCTCCCTCCTCCTCCTCCTCCAGCCACTCGGAGACTCGAATCCAAGGCGCGTTGCAGCCACTCAGGGAGGAGCGACCGGTCACACACCACACACACACACACCACACACGCCTTGCACAGCTTAGGCTGAAGAATTAAACAAAAAAGTAACAAAAAATTACATTCACCAAAAGAAAATATTAAATTGTTAAAGACCTCTTCGATGTTCGGCCACCGAGCGTCATCCGTGCGCACCGTGCAGAGTGACACGGAGGAGCGCGGGGTGCAGTGAGCGCGTGGAGGGGAGGGGGAGGAGGAGGAGGAGGGGATGAGGTGAGCCGATTTGCAGAGGGGGGCAAGGGGACGGAGCAGCAAACAGTGAATGCTGCCCCGTGTCCCGTGGCCGCTGAGCGCGTTCACACACGACGCGCACACGCGCAGAAGGAAAATAATAATAATATTATTAAATAAGGGAGCGCAGGACGCACGCGCAAACACACGCACACACACGCGCGTGCGCGCACGGGCGAGATGTGCACACGCGTGCGCGCGCACGCAATCACTGCCCCTGCTAACTGTTCTCACGTTTCCAGCTGCGCATCATTACACAGGCGAATCCAATGAGCCGACAACCAACCACTACCACCACCAACAACCACTCAGTCCCCTCGCCCGCTATTATCCCTCCATCCCCCCGCCACCGCCAACCTCCCGCCACCCCACAAAATATCCTCTCCACCACTCACATCACCCACTAGATGTTACGCACAAAGCCAACGATCCCCCGTATCGCCTTAACAGACTGGCGGGGTAGGTGTTGTTAGCCAGCACCTTTGAATCTCGAGAACGGCACACGAGTGGGTGGGCGGCCAGCACCACGTCCAGCCGCCTTTGTCTCCCGAGTGGCAATGTCGCACTAGGTTCTCAATTGAGGCTGAGTCTACCTAGGGGAGGCCCAGGACCGGTTTGTCACTGGTGTTGGCGGTGACTGGGAATCGAACTCGGGTCGCCGGGTTCGTAGCGCAGCTTGCTAACCAACCGCCACACCACCGCTCCCCGCGTTACAGACATCTACCACAGTGTTACGCAGACACCACTGCATCCACCACTGCATCACGCAGACATTCACCACTGCATCACGCAGACATCCACGCACCCGCGCGCGCACAGATGCCCTCTCCAGTTCCACCCTCCACAATGCAGCAACCAGTTCCGTGAACCCAGCAAACATTGCCGCGCGCAACAACCGACATCACGAGCCAGGCAACCACCTCCGACCATCATCCACCGCTCACTCACTCACCTAGCAAGGCAGCCACCACGCATCCACCCTGCCATGCATTGCCTCGCTTTATGCCCCTCCGCCGCAACCCTCCCTCTTCTTCACTGCCCGTTTGGCTTCGTCTCAAGAGGAGGCACGGAGCAATAACGCGCAGCGTCCATGCAACAGAGGAGGAGGAGGAACGAAGGCAGACTTTGGCTTGAGTTAAAAACAACACGTGTATGTGTGTGTATGAATGTGTGGGGAGCGGTGGTGTAGCGGTTAGCGCGCCTGCGCTACGAACCTGGCGACCCAAGGTCGATTCCCGCTCACGGCCAACACCAGTGACGATTATCTGAACCGGTCTTGGGCCTCCTCTAGGTCGACTCAGCATCAAATGAGTAGCTGGTGCGGTGTGTAAACATTGCCGCTGGGGAGACAAAGGCGGCCGGGCGTGGTGCTGGCCACCCACCCCCCTCGTGTGCTGTTTGCGGCTTTCACAGGTGCTCGCTATAAGCACTTGCCCCTACAGTCTGGTAAGGCTATACGGGGGATCTTTGTCTTGTATATATATGAATGGTGTATGTTCGCAACATATCGTGAGGCTGTATTGTGGCGTGGCGTAAGGGGGGTGTGCTGAGCGTGCCCTGACCGTGTAGACGGAGGAGTCATCTCATCAACAACTTCTGGTTAAACCAAGCGGGCGATTTTATATTATAAACTAACACAAAGAAACCAAGAAAGAAGCCTGGCTGCTTCACCAGAGCGAGTTGATGGAAACCAGCGTGGAGTGAAACTTGCACAATGCTTGCTGGTTAACTTCAGAAGGCTATAGAGCCAATAAGAGGCCTATTTCGCGTGTAACATTCTTACCACTACTATGCCTTTGAGGCTATATCTTGGTGATGTTGTGCGTGCGTGGTGAGCGATTGACACGTATTTAAATTCTATCAAAGCAACAACAGAAAAAACATAAGAGAATATTGACATTCGTCCGGCAAATACATAAGAAGGGGAGCGGTGGCATAATGGTTAGCGCACTGCGCCGGAAAGCTTGATTTACCCGAGTTAAATTCAATGGCAACGGCTACGTTCATTTACCAGTGATACGGCTCAATCTAGCCTTGCTGGATTGAGTCCCGTTCGTCCTTGGAGGGGCTATCACTGGAGCTTGCCTTGTGTTGTAGGTGTAGTGTTGTAAAGGACGGACTTCTATACTTCTTTATGGCAAACACTGTATTATCTTAATACACAGTCCCTATCACACAAAGGGGGTATATGGTCCCCTCACCCGTTACCCTGAGGAGACACAGCCTCTGGACCTTGCAGGCTATCTAATCTCCCTGCTCTCCCAGCGTCCTCTGGCTGGACCTAGGGGCTCTCTCCCCGACCACTGGTTACTCTGAGCCCGAGCCCTGATAAGGGCTGGATGGACTTGGTCCAGGGTCCTAGATGTCTTCGGCCGACTTGGGTCTTCGTGTAGCAGAACTGGCCAAGAGCTCTCAGCGCTCTGGCTTTTATACCTGTTCGTGGCCGGGTTGTCCAATCCCCGGCCACCTTGTGGGACCCTCCGATTGGTCCTTCCCAATCTGGCGTTTGGATCCTACCTCACCCCCTTTGACCCTGGCCGTTTGATTGAGCAGGAAAACCTTGTTTACGATCCGATCTCTCAGTGTGTGAACAGCGAGTAGTTAACGCCACTACATCGGCACAAGGCACCCATTCGTATGCCTGGGGCTTTCTCCCGGGTTTTCCAATTACCTCCCAACAAACACTCAACAAAACCAAACATCATCCCAATGTGGCAGCAACATTGAGTGTTGCGAACGAGGCTGTTCTAGAATTGGTAGTATATTCTAAGACGTCCGGTCTACATGGAAGAGTAGGTCAAAATTCCCTCTAGAGGTTCTCTCGAAAGCTGCCTTTACTGGAGTCTTCTGCCAGCAGGGACAAGAAAAAGTAATTGCAGGGTTGAACCTTTGCCTATAATTATTCTCGCAGCAGCTTTTGGCTTTCAGATGCGCTTCAGCGGCCGTCTGGAACGCTCTTCCGATATTAGGACGCCAGTGGAGCGATGTACTTTTAAATGTCGATTGAAAACGAATTTCTTTAAGAACTGCTTTTTGGGTTTAGTTTGTTGTTCTTAGCCCGCACCTCCAATTCGCACGGTTGGCTACGTACTTCATAATCAACGTTTTTGGGTTTAGATCGCGTTATTTATAAATGTGTCGTAACCCTCCACCACCCGACACGGCAATCAGTAAAAAGTGTTACGTTGACAAAAGACAAATAGTTCACTGCTTTAGCCCACCGGTGTGTTGAAGCCACAACATTTACAATTTGAGTACGACGTTTCGCTGGTAATTGCATCCAGCATCATCGGGCAATTCGCCAATTACCAGCGAAACGTCGTACTCAAATTGTAAATGTTGTGGCTTCAACACACCGGTGGGCTAAAGCAGTGAACTATTTGTCTGTTGTCAACGTGACACTTTTTTACTGATTGGCCGTGTCGGGTGGTGGAGGGTTACGACACATTTATAAATAACGCGATCTAAACCCAAAAACGTTGATTATGAATAACATTGGTCGCGAAAGCCTACGTGTTAAACTGGCTACGTACTGTGCGAAAAAAGTTCAACGTACATTCATAACTTCAGTTACACGCTCCTAAATCCAGTTTCATCTCAGGTTTACAAACACATCTCCACGGTGTGCCAGGTGTGTGTTGTTTGGGAGTTGAATGCAGCACCCCGGGCAAATTGACATGACTGGTGTAGATAGTGTGTGGAGGATGAGCGTTACTCTACGGTACACATTGGAGTGGTTGGTTTCGCAATGATAGACCCGTGGTGTTAATGTGATGGAAAATTGTTACCTTGAAAATATCCGTGAAATTTCACGATTAAATTCTCCCACTCCCCATCGCCAAAAATAAACTCAATTTGTTCCCCACGGGATAATAACGCACGTATACCCACATCTATGTCTGATATAGAGCCGGTTGGGAGTTGAGTACCTGATGGAAATTCGAATGATGTGTAAGAAGTTCTTGATAGATCATATTGGGCACAGATGTAGCTGTTGAGTATGTTTATAACAACAACAAAAACATATCCGATTTATTTTTTTATATTTGGGACCCCCAAAATTGTGATTAAAATTACATTTACTTTTTGTTTTTAATCTTGGCCTACGAAAGGTTGTATCGAGAGATTAAGTGTGCGGAACGAAAATATCACGAAATAGCTTTACTCTAAATAGAGACGCAACTTATTCTTTATTTGTTTTTACGTCCACATTTGGCCGTTGCTAAATCGAAATATGGTGTCAAATAAAAAAAAAACGCCAAAAATAGAGCAGAATTATTCAAGCTAATTTTAAACTTTACTTTAAACGAGGAAAGAGAAAAAAAAAACATCTTGCAGAAGCGAGAAGGGGGTAGTCGACTGTGCTCGCCACACATGGGAGAACTTCCACGAATTTCCAATTCATAAACCCCACAGCCAACCAGCACGGGCCAACCCCGCAAGGTGACCTCACCACGTGACCACACCACGTGACCGCACCAAATGACCACACCACGTGACCGCACCAAATAACCACACCAAATGACCACACTACGTGACCACACCAAATTACCACACCACGTGATCGCACCAATTGACCACACCACGTGACCGCACCCAAATAACCACACCAAATGACCACACCACGTGACCACATCCAAGTGACCACACCACGTGATCGCACCAAATGACCGCACCAAATGACCACACCAAATCACCACACCACGTAACCATCCAACGCGATCCACTCGCTCTTTGTGCATCTCTCGCACCCCGCGAAGATGATGGCTAGTGGCTCCGAGGTTCACGTGGTTTGAAAACCCCTGGGTTTATGCATAAGCTGGGCCCCTGCCATAGGAATGTGGAATTTCCACCGCCGGATAGGAGTCAGCAAAGTCCTTGAAAAATTGCGGGATTCATTTCATTCGAACGGAAGCTGATTGGGATAATTATTGCTATTCACAGTTCATATCGTGCCCGTCTGTCCATCCGTCTGTCCATCTGTGGACA